TGTGTGTGTGTGTGTGTATATATTAGTGTTTCACTGCTATTCATAAGGTTTTCACTGGTTAATGCTTTGAGAAGTAGATGATCCCTTCCCTCTTTCAAGTCTATCTTAGTCTGGAAGCTCTGCTGAAACCTGTCCACATGGGTGACCCTGCTGGTATTTGAAATATTGGTGACATAGCCTCCAGCCTCACAGCAAAACACAAGCCACCACAGTACAACAAACTGACAGATGAGTGGTGGCCTTTAATGAGATGGATTGGCACAGTGGCTGAAGCAATGGGCTCAGGCATAGCAAGGATTGTGAGGCTGGCACAGTACCAGGCAGTGTTTCATTCCATTGTACTCACAGGGTCACTATGAGTTGGAGCTGACTCAATGGCACCTAACAACAAGAGATACACAAAAGTACACACACATACATATGTATATATATATGTGTGTATATATATGTGTGTGTGTATAGATATAGATATATATCCCTGAAGGAACATTTTCACATTTGCCAGCCTAGATTCCTCTATTCATTGTGCACATACATGTTAGCTGCATTACAGAGAAGAGAATCTGGAAAGAATTGAGGCTTAAGAACAGAGGATTTATTGCTGTGGCTCTTGTTTCCTCCTTCATGTGAGAGCTCCCTCCCAGGGCTTGTCCAGTGGAGCTCTACAAGATGGTTTATAGAAAGCAACCTGAAAATTATAAAACACTTCAAATATAAGATAAGATCTACAGTATTATAAACATACAATTAGAAAAATAGCCTTGGAACTAAAACATCTGGTACTATTTTAGAAAGTAAGTGAAAGCTACTTTGAACATGTCACTATTAGAAAAATGACAGGAAAACATTTTGCTAAATATTAACATTCTATCTCAAGGTGATAATATCTGGGGTCATTTTTTACCCCCTCTCCTTATATACCCTCCCCCAGTGTTCTGTATCTAGGGGGGAAAATTTTTTTTTATATATATCTATTATAGAAAAGATTACTTTTCAGTCTTTGGAGGATACATTATAATCATTGAACTTTTTAAAATTAAGTTTTGTGCTGTGTGTTTAAAATGGAGATTTAGAATACATTAATTCCAATTGATTTTCAAGTCTTATTTTCACAGAGTGAGTTCATTCATATCAATCTTTTGTTTTATATTGCATTAATTTTGATTACTCACTTATTTAAATGTAGTTCTATGTATCTGTTTATCCTCTACAAAAAGTTGTTTTATATTTAAAGTGACCAAAGTTGTATCTAATTTATTAGATGGTTTTATAAACATTTGCACAGTTAGCATTTTGTTTTTAGTGTTTTCAAAATTAGGATAAGCAAAAATGTTGAGAAGTTAAAACTTTCTTGAGTTGAAGTCTTTCTGAGAAAGTTACATGGCTCTATGGTTCCCAGAACACTTTGTATGATTTTATCAATAAAGATCATAGATGGCTTGTAGGAGAAAAATGTAAACTAGCAATTAAGAGATCTCCCACTTAAAGCATGTCACTGGAAAACTCTGTCCAACATGGCCCCCT